GGAAAGAGAAAGAGCGAGGGACAGTTTGCGGAGGCCAGGCGCCTGATTACTAGCCAGCTCAGGACGCCAGACATACATAACTAAATAACTTCCTAAATTCTATATCATTTCGGAGCGGGTTCCAACGGTGAAATAACGCGTCTAGACGTCGCTGAAGAAAACGAACAACGGCGGCGGCAAAAAAAGAGCGAGCTTTAATGCGTCAAGACGCTGATTTATCCTCCCGAGTCATTTTCAATATGGGCTCCGTGAAATAAATTAATGGCGTTCCGTTAGCTCCCAGGGGGACAGGGTCGATTCGAATTTTCTTATCTTTCCTGAAAACGCTGACAAATGGACGGATAATTCGGACCAACGTGATCTTCGTCTTTTTCCTATTCCCCTACGATGATTCCGAGCTAATTTATAACCTATTTCGCGACCATAACGCATAAGCTTATCGAAACGTATGAAAATACAAATTTTACAAATTAATCCGCGGAACAAACAGTTTACATTTATTCTCCGTCAATTATTTCCGTCGATATCGAATATTTATATATTTATTTATCAGAATTTTTCTAAAAATTACACGGCTTATTTTATTGGTTAGGTTAGATTTTTCGTAACCGACGTTCGTCTCCGTCGAGGAATATCAATGAGGAAAAGAATGGAAAAGAATAAATTGAAAATTCTGTTGCAGATTCGCCGATGAACCCGCAAGCATTCGTTACTGCGGACTGAATCTAAAATCGCGTGAGTATATAAGAAGCGTATCGGCATTATTCAGAACGGGAAGCGTCATCTAGAAAGCGACGGTCAAATTCTTTCCTGCCCGACCGGTCACCGTTTCTTCTTTAACATTCTTCCGTCATTCGACGACGATGACACGCTGGAACAGGCGTCTCCTTTACGAGAAATATCATGACTGAAATTCGTCTTGGAATGTTGACCCTCGGGGTGGAATACTTGTCGGTGACTGGCGCTGGCGCTACGCAGAGGCGCTGGCGTCAGTCTGCTCGGCCGCTCGAGTAACCGCGACCGACCGGCTGACGCCCCCCGTCTTCAGACGAGTCCACCTTGCGCGCTTTGCCCCCCTTCTTGCCTCCGCTAACTTCCCCCCTCGCTTCGCTCCGTTCTTTCCCTCACCCTCTGTCATCGCCACCTTCCCCCTCCGCCGCTTATCCTGCTCCGCAACGCGTTCCAGTTGCACGGATCGCGGACCAGAGGGAGATTTATGATCGATTGCTCCTCGTTTTCAAAAGTTTCCCGACTATTCCATACTTTGGGGTCGAATTCGCGAAACGACTATTACGCGATTATACGACTCGTCACCGGGAGAACGTATCGAGCGATCGGTCTATCGAAACGTAAATCGCTCTCTCTTTGGCACGCGACGATGTTTACGTGATTTTTAATTCGGTTATAATTCGATTGGTCGAACCGCGCGCAGGTTTTCGAAGGTTTACAGGCGAAATTATTAACGAGGAACGCACGATTGGATGTCTCCGTAAGTCGGGAGAGGATAGGAGGCGAATATTTTCGTATTATCGTCGATAAGCGATCGATAGATCGGACGGGGATAGGAGAAAGGAGAGAAAAAGAAAGAAAAGGAAAGAAAAGGAGGATGGTATAATTTTGAAAAGAACGTTCCTGGTATATCTGCGGTATAGGACGGGTGGCATGGACGGGTGGCGCCTCTAGCGGCGAACGTAGGAAATAATGGCGCGGCGGCGACGGCCATGTTTAACAATCTCCCTTGTGTGTTTAGTATGCTGCGGTCGGTGTATCGGCGCGCCGAGACGAGACGGACGGGACGAGACGAGCGACGGCGGCGACGAGGAGGTGGAGGAAGAGGCGGTGGAAGTCGGTGTGTGCGCTCATGACGGAGACCTCGTGCGTACCAGTCGCGTCGTCGAGCGGAGCCGAGTCGAGTCGTGTTACGGCCGTAATCGTGGTTGTTCTTCGCAACAGTTTGCCCCGTGACTACGTCGGTATCTGTGCGCGAAGAGAAAAACGACTGCCGATAGAAGAATTGGAAAGAGGGGAAACCGAGCGTGCAGACTGAACGCGATTCTCTACCCCGCCACCACGCACGCTGACTTTTTTTTATCATCCGCCCGAGAGCACGTATCGAAGTTTTAAACGCGCAGCCCAAGCGCTACTCTCGTTCGACCTCTCTCGCCCTCCGCGAGTTATATATCCGATCTACGCGCACTAGTCCTCCCTACTCTCTTTTTCTCGCCGTGTATTTTCCTCTCTCTTCTGTCTATCCGTCTTGCTCTCGCGCTATCCCTCCCCGTTAGCGTCTCGCTCCTTCTCGCTAGCTCTCTGGGCAGCGATTTCAAGAATGTGACAGTGCGCGTCCTCGCGGTCGCCTCGCGCGAATAAGCCCGCAGGCCGGCGACGGCGATGGGTGACGAGCGACAAGTGTTACGGTGAACAGTGCGAGAACAGTGAAGAAGTAGGGAGAGAAAGACGGACGATGCAAGCGGAAAATGTCACTCGGTGATACGCGTATACGGATGACGGGGAGTGATCGACGCGACAATCTCGGATTTGAGGTTAAAGTGTCGTCGTCGTCGTCGTCGTTGTTGTTGTTATGTGGTGCCGGTGCGCCGGCATTGGCCACGGCACGGGCAAAGGAGTATCAAGAACGAAAACGGCATTATCGCATCCTACAGGGCCTAGCTGCCCGAGATTCCAGGGACATTGAACAAGCGCCGTGGTGTTCCACCGCTGTCACGCTCGTCCGCTAAGAGGAACCAAGAGAGAAAGAGAGAGAGAGAGAAAGATTCGCAACGATACAAAACAATTTTTCGTAAGGCGATCGCGCCGATGTACGTATTATATACGCGCGCGTGTGTGTGTTGGTGCTTGTGTGCCGGGTCGCGAGGTTAAGGCACCACATCGCTGTCGATATACAACGTCGAGGAAAGTCAAGAACCGGTGTCGTGTGTGCGCGCGCGACCGATTCGTGCTGCTACATCCAACGGATAACAAGTGTATCGTGATACTAATAGTGCGCGTCCGTAACCCCGCCGGCGACCGTTGCACCGTGCACGTCTACGGACAACCGAAGCTGACGTTGGCGAGACTGTCGAGCCACGCACCGACAGGCAGCAGCAGCGAAAAACCCTCGTGTGCCTTTTCGCTTCTGTATTATGCGCTACGTTCTTTCATCCTCGAAGAAATCGTCCAGCGCTTTTTGTCGCCTGCCCGACGGCCGAGACAGCAGAGACAGCGGAGGCAGCAGAAGCAGCGGTAACGGTAGCAGCGGAAGCAACAGTAGCAGCAGCGCGGCACTTTGGACAGCGACTTTACCAACGCGACACGTTTTGCCCTCGCGGTGTCATTCACGACTAACGTTTCGACGCGCGATTGAAGAGAGACGGAACGAATAGAGGAAAAAGCGATTTCGCGGCAAGTATCGCGAGAAATGAAGCGGCGCTTCAGCTGATCGAGAGAGTTCGTCACGACGAATCGGCGTAGTGTGTGCTCGCGCACGCTGTTCGCGTCACCGATCAGCCGGCCAGTTCGCGTATGCTGTGGCACATAGGTAAACGAGAGAGTTCAAGGTCAGCAGACGGTATTCGGACCTAACCTCGTTTACGCGTTGGAAAAAGTAAGCGGAGAGCAAGAGGGTGAAGGTACCCCCCGGTTATTGCGCTCGGGTCCGCCCCGTCGCTTGCCACGCGCCATCGCCGGTTCGAAATATTCTCGTTCTCGGGAAAGAAAGGGAAGAAGAGCGGACGGCGTAGAGGATTCGCGAAAACGGCCGAGAGTGGCGCGCGTTTATCGCCTGCGGACCGTGTTCGACGCGCTTTAGCGCGAAACCGAGCCCCACGCACACGCGCGCGTGCACGCACACCGTCGTTCTTCTCTGCCACGGGGGACTGTTACACTATTTCGGGACCGTGATCCAAAGTGCACGAGATACGCGGAGAGCATAAATAAATATACACGCGTGTGCTGGCCCCGTCGCGAGTCGCTGGGGACCGTCATTCGTCTGTGATTCCTTCGCTCGTATGTGTGTCGGAGCAGCGGCGGTGTTTGTTTTTTTTCACCACAGTGTATAACCGCCGGTGTATATACCTCTGCTGTTGGCTTTTTTCGCCGTAGTCGCGAGATCGGCGAAAGAGCGGCGAAAGAGCGGCGAAAGAGGAACGAAAGAGGAGCGAAAGAGGAGCGGCAACGGGGAAGCTCGGTAACGCGCGAAAGGGAGAAAAACGAGGCGTCGGTAGAGGAAACTGTGGAGCCGCGGCAGCGAGAGGGGGCGGCGGCGGGAGGAGGGGGAGGAGGAAAGTGGCGTGCAGTGCGCGGTGGTGCGACGGTGTCGCGTCGGGCACCGATTCCAAATAATTCTCATTTTCCGCGCGGCTACGTTCAAAAGTACTGGCCCCCAAATGCGCGTACCGCAAATCCTGTTTCATGTTCATGTTCTGGAGCAAACGGACGGCGCTCACTAGACGTCTCCTAAAGGCCAAGGTCTGTGGAGAGCATGAAACCGAGTGTGAAGCTCAAGAGGATTCGTCACGTATTCATCGCGCAAACAACACGAGCGGCACCGACAACGACACGAGCAACGTGACGGCAACGACGGGCCAAACAACCAGAGGAGCGCGTGAAGCGTCGTCAGGAGGTGCAGTCGGCGGCGGCGGCGACGGCGGCGTCGGCGGCGGCGTCGTCGGAGGTGGCGCTGCGGGAGGCGGCGGAGGTGGTGGAGGAGGAGGAGGAGGAGGTGGAGGTGGCGCTGGGGTAGGAGGTGGCGGTGGAGGGGGTAGCGGCGGCTCTGGAGGTGGAGGGGGTGGAGGAGGTAGCCGTATCTCGTCGAGTAGACTACACCAAGGTTGCTGCGGCGGTGATCAGAGCCAGGACGATGACGAGGATCCCGTTCGTTTATCGATGTGCAAGGAGCTGTTGAAATCGCTCAAGGAAAATCAACTAGAGATGTTACTCACCGCCGTGGAGAGCTTTGGTGCCGATCTCGGCTCGTGCGTCCTCGTGCCTCGTCAGCACGCCGAGGACAGCTACGACACCGAGCAACAACAGCAACAAACTTATCGTCATCATCGTTACCATCATTATCACCACTACTATCATCACTCGCACCATCACCATTACTATCATCGGCATCATCGTAGACACCATCGTTCTTCGTCGTTGGAGAACGACGACGATCAAAACTCTGGATCGGAA